AAAGAAGGCTGATAATTGCTAGTGCTTGCAGAGGCTTCTAGATCTGTTAGCTTTTTTTAATTTAGAGCAGAACGGAGAGCATTCAGAGCTTTGGAAAGGAAAAAGCTTTTCTTACTATACCATAGTATAGGTAGTCTCATCTCTGCTCCTGTTTTTCATTAGAGCGTAGCTAAAGCACTGGCTTTTTTTCAGCAGTATCACTGATAAAAATGAAATGTAAATCAAGAGGACACAATAGACATTATAAAAGGAGCAATCTGAATATAAAGCATTTAAGCTTCTACTCTTTTTCGTGTGCTTATCTGTAAAACTAGCAACCGAATCCTGTACCTGTTAGGCTGCATAGATGCTCAGGTCTGGTAATAACGGGAGGTGTTCAGTGTTGTCAGTTCCCAGGGAAGTCAACAGCAGCCAAGGGAGACTGAAACAAGTCTGTGAATACCTTACAAGATCAGACCCTGATATTGCCAGTGTTTATATTCTGTACATGGGCTCCAAATCCATAACAAAATCAGAAAGACATTTGTTTGAGCTATTTATAGAGCCTGTTTGACTAACCATCTGTGCTCTGATTGAAGTATACACATGGTCCAGACTGAATAAAAACCAATTCTCTGTATTAAAATAGTAACTTTGACACTATTACATCTAAAGATCTTGCTGCTAGTGACTCTGTTGACCTGTTTACAAGTAAAGGTAAATTTTAAAACTGTAACATCTGAGAGGTATCATGAGAAACGAGTGTCACAAGTCTGTCCACTTCAAAAAGTCTTTGAAGTGAAGGGATGCTGTTTGAACACTGCATGCCTTTCAGAACTGCTGCTTGCTCAGGGTCTGGATTAAGCAAGCTGCCTTCCTCAGTTTTTGAGTAGCTTTAGGGTTTATTTGTGAGCGTAAAGGCAAGAATGCACCAAAGTTTATTGCCATAATTTCATTTGTCTCATATTTCTAATTCAGAATTAGATTCATGCCTTTTACTGTTGTTCGTGGTATTCAGTACGAATATTAGCAAAACATTAGAAATGTGGCTGACTATAGCTCAGAGTTAATTACACTGAGAAACCTCACTGTGTTCATTCAGTTTGCTTCCTTCATCAAGATTGTCTTTTTCATGGATCAGTCTGTTCAAAATGCAGAGATTAGGAAACATAGTGAGAAGATGAAAAGCACTAGGCTATAATATCTTTTGTTCAAAAATATATATATATATTGGTCATTTCCTATTTATTGAAATTGCTCCTTAGGAATGATTCTTGAACAGCAAGTTTTGGGAAGCTGGCTGTACTTGTTCAAGATGGTATGAAATTGAAGTTCCTGATATTGTTTCACAAGATTAATTTTCTTTAGTGATAACCTGGGGAATTCTTTAAATTACCTCTTCTTAGTTGATGTTGCACCATCTGCCACATCTGCAAAGAAGATAATTATTTTTAGGAACAGCTGTGTTTTTGTTTTTTTTTTTTATCAAGTCTTGAGTCATCAGGGTCAGTATTTTTGAATTATTCCATGTAGGAAAATAGAAGCAATTGGTTTGCATTTTGGGCAATAATAAATGGATGTACTGATATTACAGTTAGTGCCATAAATGCTACAGCTATTTACTACAGTCCTCTAAATTTCAAGAAATTTGTGGGCATTCTTTGTGAGAACATTTAGTTTTGTAGGGAGAAACTATCAGTCATACTTCTTAAATCAGTAAGACAGCAACTGGTGGCAAATAAGTGACTGTGGAGACTCTTCTCTTAATGGAAATATTAAAGTGAAAATGGCAGACTTCTTAACATTAGGCCATAGGTTTGGGTTCCCAGCTTCAGTTTCAAAAGCTGAACTGCAGAATAGGATCTCTCAGTCAAAAGGAAAAGTCCTCAAATGAGCCATCCTTTAACAGAGATTCCTTGTTGTCTGTGGCCTTCAGTGATAGCTCAAAGTCTGACGAGCACATAGAAGTCAGAGGAGCGTCCCCCATCCCATAATAAACAAGGGGAACCAAGCTAAGGTGAGAATTAGGCCCTGAAACCTTCACCTGCTTGCTTTGTCTTGCAACAAACAGGCTCTGATCTGTGCAAGATGTCTTGAAAGAGGAGTGCTTTGTGTAAACTCTTAATGTGAAGTAATGAGTATCATACGTGCACTCAGAGCTGTCACTTGGGGATGAGATGGCTACATCTCTGCAGCAGTTTCTTTAAGCTTCCTGCTGTTGAGGAACTAATGAGAGCAGGCAGCTTCTCAATAACAGAACAGTTTTTCCCTGGGGAGTTAATAAGAAGTAAGCTTATCTTACTGTCTTTGTTACAGAGCGAAGGTGGCAGAGAGGTATCGCCTGAGGAGGTCTTTTAAGAAATCACATGCATGTTGAAAATTAAAGCTTAGAAAGGGTGTCCACAGGATCAAGAAAGAGGAAACTTTGATCTGAGAGATAACTGAAAAGCCAAACCCGTGTTCCATGTTGAAAGACAGGCCTGTGAATCTGCAGGCATCTTGACAGAACCTCATACACTGCACCCCCTTGTGCTCCGGCAGGCTCAGGCTTGTGACACTGGACGCCCAACCTGCAGAAGCTTGGCTAGGTGCTCACTTTTCCTTTAGTGTGTCCTGCTCCGTAACTGCATTGCATGAAGCCTAGAGGTGTCCGTGTAGCTGACTATCGGTGGTGGCCAAGGTGTTGGGGGTATGTTTTAATTTGTACTTTTAGAAACTGCATACCAAGAAACTCACTGAAGAAAAGCCTGTGGAGTCTAAAACTGTTTCCAGTTGTAGTTCTCATAATTTAGCATTTCTTTGTTCAATTTATTCCACTTTTCAATGACTCTGAACCTTGACTTCATGAACCTGTTTGCAAACAGTGGGAGCCTGGAGATTATGTCACTAGCATATCTCTGGAGCTGAACTGCCATGCTAATAGTCCGGAACATGTCTGTATTTTCCAGCTAGGCTTTAATGTACTTTACTATTTGTGCTGTTTAATTAAGGTCCAAAAAGGCCTTCAGTTAGTAGCCACACAGTCATCTTTGTTGATTTTAGACTCAGCAGCATTTTATGCACTAGAAGTTCCGTTTGCTGCACGCAGTGTAACTGAGAACAAATGGTAGTTAACAGCATTACCAGCTCCTGCCAAAGCCACTCAGTCCTCCTCTTGGTGAAGAGCAGGAGAAAACAATGGGCCGTGCTCTTCAACCTGCAGGTCAGGCTTGATTTGTCATTTACTGTTAGATTGCAGAAGTGTTGTATCTTATAAACAGAGGCAGTGCACAGCTTCTGCTGGGAGTACCTAGTACAGAGGCTTATCCTAAATGAGGATGCTTAACTTACACGGTATTTGACCCTCTGAATGTGAGGTTCCTGTTACTAATGAAGGTATAAAACCAGAATGACTTCATATGTTTGAAGTCTCTCATTCTGTTGAAGAACTCAGTATAATGCCTATAAAATGCTATTTTGCTTTGCCAAATGCTAGAGAAGTTACTGCCCAGAAATGATACTGTTTATCTATAGTCTGAGCAATGGAGCAGAATTTTGTAAACAGACAAGAGTGTCCCTTCTAAATACAGGTGATGCTGGTGGATCTTGGCATCAAGTGGTAGAACACTCCTCAAGTGAAATCAGTTAACCTACTGTGTTCACTTGGGCATCTGTATTCAGTCTTCCCATGCAGATCATGAAGCTGCACCCAGTTAGCAGTAATAAGAGCTAAATTAGTTTTATATTTTCATTCACTTTTCTAATTCCAGCACAAATAATTTTTTTTTTTTTGGTAAGAATTGTGGAATAGCAACACACACATCATCAAAACTCTTATTGACAAAGTTGCTTATAACAGGAGTGGATATATTTATAACTAGTCCTAAGCAGTACCAAGTGAGATAGACACACATGAATCTTGGAGAGAAGGTCACCTTATGGATGTTTGACTGTGCATTTGCACAAGAAGGGACAGTAGCCTCCTCTTCCAATACTGGCTTCAGCTCCAGTGAAGGTGGTCTGTTATCCCCTTGGAACTTACGAAAGATTATTAGGTAAGCCTTGGTAACCTGTTCTCTTGTTATGGTTTATCACAGTGCATTCCATAGCTCCTTACAGATTACTTGCAATAAATGAAAAGCACTCCAGAGACCAAATTTGGGAAGCAGAATGTGATCAAGCAGGATACTCTTTCCTTAGTACATTTCTGGAGAAAGAGCAGTTTAGTGCAGTGTGGTCTGTAATTGTGATCATGTCATGTCCAGAGAGAGAAGCTTGTGACAGTTTGATCATTATATGGAGGGAGATCTTACAAGACTGGCCTGAACTGTTGCAGAAGAAAGCTGTGATGGGCTAGGGTTACCAGCTGTGCCTGTAAATAACTTGGCTGGAGGAGCTTGTTTGTATGGGTTTGTATTTCACATCTGCACGGTCCCAAGATAAATACAGTTCTGTTGTGAACAACTGACTTGCCAAACAGAGCGTGTGCATGACTTATCTTCGTTCTGAGCCTACCATGTTTCAAGCTATTCCACCTGGGTTACAGAATTCAACCATCCCTTTTGTTGTTTTCACATTTTAATCACTGCTCCTTTACTTCTATCCAGGCAGGTAAAAATGCAGCCAACATTTCTTTTGTCTGCTGAGCTCAATTAATGCAGCAAGTGTTTCATTTGCTGCTCCAAGCTGCCTGCTCATGAAAATAAGCCAGTGCTCACAGAGTCAGTCAAGACAGGCAGATGTGGCTATGTGCAGCTATATATGTGACCCTCTAGTCTACAAAAGACATTGGTCTGCTATTTTATATCCAAGGTATGTAGGTCAGGAGAGTCATCCAGAAAGAGAAGATTAAGGTAATAAATAGACGAGCAATGTCAGCAGGGAGACTATAGGTGGCTTCTTGTAATCCAAGTTAAGTTACATCTCTTTACTGAGCTGTATTTTGGTGTCATTTGAGTTATCTGTGTAGCTGAGTCACTGGAAAGGTTTTTGAGGGTTTGTTTGGGTTTTTTTTGTTTTTCAGCAACTTTGAACCTCCACTGATGCATGAAGTCCCAGAGCCCCAGGGCAGTGGCACAGACAGTTCAGCAACCAGTTTGGGAAGCACTGTCACAGCATGTAAGAAGGTAACTTCTAAGTTCTTGTTATATTTAGAGACACAGCTATCCTAGGTTATAGCTTTGCTTTTTAGTTTTCACTTTATTGGGAAGTACAAAATTCAGCTGAAAGGGACTGATACAAAAGAATAAATTCTGGGTCCTGTTATGGTATCTTGCTGTTTTGTCTGCCTGGTCGATATACTTGTCTGGTCTCAAAATATATTATACCCACACGGGAGATACACTCCCCCTGAACATTTCTGTTTTTCATCATTACCTAATAATGGGAAATAAAAGCAGTGCATAGGAATGAAAATTCCTCCTCCCTAGGGCCAGGTTATGGCCGTACAATCCAAGGGCAGGGCCACTGCCAGAGCCCTGCTGAGGAGGGCAAGCCATCTTTCATCCCTCACTTTGCAATAACCCTCAGACCTCTGCTGTCTCCCACAGGCACAATTCTAGAGCTGATAAGAAAGCATTTGGTCTAACAGAGAAGTGTTATGAAACTTCACAGTTCATTCAGGTTTCCTACCCATAATTCTTCGGGGTGTTTTTTTCCTTTTCCTGCCACTAGTAATAATGCTTTTGGTTTGGTTTGTTGGCTTCTTTCAAAATAACAATATATATTTATATATGTAATCAGAGAAAGATAAACCATGTAGAAGATAAAGTTTTATTTTCCTCATCCTGAAAACCACGCTCTGGATGGGGGTGGTGAGTATTGTCTGTCTACAGAAATTTTGTTACATGTAAAACCTTCGCTACAAAAAAGAACTCAATAGACAGTGTGTGTGCTGGGACTGACTGGGCTTCTCCAGCTCACCCCAACATGGCTAAAAGACAAAGTGTCAGTATTTCATTTGATCAAAGGGTTGGTTTGTTTCCAAGAGAACACCTGATTTTTTTGAAAAAAAAAAATGCTGCTGACTCCCTCTGGAATTTTCATATAGGCAGAAAATCCGTTGTGTGGGAGCACATCTTAAAAGTTCATTTAGCCTCGGAGTTGTCTATTTTCGGCCAGACTGAAGGACAGTGGCACAGCACTGAAAAGTGCCCCCGCTCAGTGGTTACAAACACGCCCAGCATGGTCACCTTTGGAAGCAACACTCTCTATTAAAGGCTGGCCTTTTCCATGTGATTTAGAGCTGCCTCACCACTCTGATCCCGTACGTCTGAACTTTTCATTGTACACGAGTTGATTGTATGATTGTCGACACACTAGAAGAAGTGATTCACTTCTGCTAACACTTCTGACACACAACAGGGTATTTTGGGCTTCTTTACAGCATTGTCATAGAATGCATTACCATTCCTTTTTTTATGTGTGGAAAAGTATAAAGAATTACCAAAAATAGGCCGTTAGCTTCTCCTTTAGCCTCTGTTAGTTACAGTGATTTTTAAGCTGGATGTGGGATTGGTGGTGGAACAAAGCACTGTGGGTCCCTGCCTCAAGGGAACAGTTCTGACAGTTGACTTGCATGTTAGAGTGAGTCATTGTGCTTGGCATGAGTGATTCCTGTCAGGAACCATATGAGATGTGGCCTGTTAATGCACAGACCAGTCTGAAAGAGTGCAGAAGATGTGCCCCCTGATACCGCATTCTCTGTCCCACTTTCGTATCTTTTTTGATGAGTAGCAATTAACCAAAGCAATTAAGACGATCAGCCACGAAGACACAGATGTTTCATTTGTAGAGCAGAGCCCTTTTAATGTTGTCTCGACTATAGATATTTACTGTATTTTAATGTCTTAGGATCTAAATCAGGGAGCAGGAAGCTGTTACACTAAACTCTTATGCGGTATTTTCCTCTGGGAACGAGTGACTTTTCTACTCCGCACTCTGCTAGAGGCTGATTTAGTTCATTGATTCACAACACACTGAGTAATGCTGACGGCTAAGTCTCTATCTAAATGAGAGTGGAAAACTTTTTTTTAGAACCATGAATTACTGCTGATTTCACATTTAGTGCATGATGCAAATTCATCCTGAATTATTTTCTGAGTGTGATGATCCTGCTCTGAACCAGATACAGAGCAGTGTAGCGTGTGCAGCTGGTACACCTAAGTACGGTCAGTGAATCAAGTTCTGCTTTCAGGGGTACCGTAGCAAATCAGAAGCAACTTTGCTGAATTCAGCAAAATTGCTAACAAGGTATGTCAGTGGGATCAGCCCAGAACTTGTCTCAATTAGATAAGAATGAAGAGAAGTATGGGATAGGAGGAGGAAATTTTGGCAAGTGATGCTGTTTGCCTTAAATGTGCAGGCTACAAAAGCAGGATGCTGACTGACAGCCGGAGGTAGTACAAGTTTAGGGTTCTTACCCTTCGGTACAGACCAGCTCAGCATATTCTGAAAATATGCTTAAATGCAAAAATGGCAATCAGAATGCCCTGGTAGAGTTACATCTCCAAGCAATACCAGTTCTCACATTGCATTTGATTAATTAATTAGCCCTGTTAATTTATGCCAGCTCCCCCAGGCTTATACACTTTTGATCATCACAGTCATACATTATTTTACCATCAGGACTTCAGTATAGCCCTTTAAAAGCATGAATACCCCAACAGGTTTTAATACATATGCAGACTCCCACTTTATATAAGCACATGCACCTCTTCAACAGGGGGAACTTCCTCACAACAGCAAGGTGCTCTAAGAAGTGTCACTCTTGCTGCATGTTTGTCTTTGACCATGATAATATTGCTCTGTTACCAAAGAAACGTGCCCAAAGGTTCACGTGGCTTCTCTGGATGCATTTGGCAGAGCAGGTGTGTGTAACCCTACTGCAATCAGCACTGAGGGGTGGCTCATTTAGAGGAATTCATCCTTCGTCTGAAGAAGTACTAATGGGAAAGTTCTGAGCAGTAAGATGTCCTTAATGGTCCTAATGCATTTCATAAGGTAGAGTTTAAACTCATCCATAGTTTACCCCTCATTCCTGCCACTGCTTACACAAATGTCTCCTGATCACCACTCCTATATGTGAAAAACAGCATATTACTGTAAGGAGGCCTTTCCTACATGTGCCTCCCTTTTCCTCAGCCCTGTTTTTATCAGTAGTTCCCAGAGGCTTTCCAGGTGACTTTGGGCCAACCTGTATTCCTTAGATTGCTGACCTACACCAGCTTCTGCTGTGTGGACTCAAGCATATCTGGTTTTGCTTTTCTCACCCATCTTCTTCAAATCCAAATTGCTGCAAGTTGTTTTCTCCAGCCCCCAGTAGTAAAAGTGTTATGCCTATTGCACGCTTGTTCACATTCCTGGCTGCATTCTCAAGTGCATGTGCAGAACTACATATGCAGAATCTGCCCAGGGAAAACGGCATCCTGCTAATGTTGTTCATTTCTGTGAGGTTACTTAAAAATCACATGCTGTCCAAAACTTCCATGTAATCAATTCTGCCCTGACTTCAAAGCCTCTTATGAAAAGATGCATACAAAAATTAAATGTACTATAAAGCCTTGCAATTGATAAACCATCCTGGAACAACCCAAGCTTGGGAGCTATGACCTAACCTGATGAAATGTCTGTTCAGGAGAGTTATTTCTTCTGTTGCTGCTTTGCCAGTATTTGCTTCCTGCTAAAAACATCCTCTGAAAGAATGACAGAGCTACAACGGGTCATTTAACATCCCACAGGAGGAAAACTAGGTGAGATTCGGACTACCCAGCTCATTTCATGGGTTTATCCCCCTCGATATACACCTGCTGTGGTCTAGCTGTTCAGAAGTGTTGGGTGTACACGCCATTTCTGAGGCTTGTTTCTGCAGGATAATTTCTGCCTATTCCAGTTTCTCAGAAACTATCTGAGATTTAGGAAACAAGTGATTAAGGCTGAAGACAAATTCACTGGAATTTTTAAGGAAATGAAACAAGATTGCTTCTTACAGGAAAAGCTGTTTGAGCTAAAGAGAACTGCTTCCTCTGCAAAATTATGTCTTAACAGGTAATTAGATCATCAGCCTTTGAGGATGAAAAGATTAGAATCAGACGAAATCTGAAATCATATATGTGTGTGTGCACATGTATATGTTCAGTGCTTTATGTCTTCATTAAAGTCTCAGAGGATGGTGATTTTTAGACGAGAGGAAAAAAAATGTGTGATTCTAGATGTAGTAGTTCAGTATTTCCACATTTGAAAGCATCCCTTTAAAAAAGAAAAACAACAACAACAACAACAACAAAACAACCATTTATAACACTAACAGGAAATTGTTTCTTTTGGATATGAAGTACATTATTTTCCCCATCTAGTCTCAGAGTTAGTTATGGTGGCAGGAATCTCTTTGCGCTGAGACAGGAGGTTATAAAATTTATTGAGTGTAGAGTCATGCAGCTGGTAAACAAGATTAGCTGGCAGCCCCCAAGAAGAGACTGGTGTTGATATGAGACACTCATGAGTCTTTGTAATTCTCAGAACAAAGGCCTTGGGCACAGTGCTTTTTATGAGTGTTTTGTGAACCCTGAATCTGTATTCATAGAATGCTAGAGTGATTAAAGTTGGAAAAGACCTCTAAGATCATCAGGTCCAACCATCAACCAAACACTACCGTGACCACTAAACCAGGTCCTGAAGTACCACATCCACATGTTTTTTGAACCCCTCAAGGGATGGTGACTCCACCACCTCCCTGGGCAGCCTGTTCCAATGTCTCACCACTCTGTCAGGAAAGAAATTCTTCCTGGTATCCAGCTGAAACCTCCCCTGGGATAACTTGGCTCACTTCCTCTCGTCCTATTGCTGGTTACTTGGGAGTAGAGACCAACATCCACCTCACTCCAGCCTCCTTTCAGGGAGCTGTAGAGAGGAATGTTGTCTCCCCTCCACCTCCTCTTCTCCAGACTAAACAATCCCAGGTCCCTCAGTCTCTCCTCATAAGCCGTATTCCCCAGACCCTTCACAAGATTTGTTGTCCTTCTTTGGACCTGCTTCAGCACTGCAATGCCTTCCTTACACTGTGGCACCTAAAGCTGAACCCAGCAGTCAAGCTGTGGCCTCAGCAGTGCTGAGTCCAGGGACATGATCACTGCCCTGGTTCTGCTGCACACACTATTTTTGATCCAGGCCAAGATACCATTGGCCTCCTTGGCCACCTGGGCACACTGCTGGCTCATGTTCAGCTGGCTATCCACTAACACCCCCAGGTCCTTTTCCACCAGGCAGTTTCCAGCCACTCCTCCCCAAGGCTGGAGTGTTGCCTGGGGTTGTGAATCAAGTGCAGGACCCGGCACTTGGCCTTGTTCAACCTCATCCAACTGACCTCAGCCCATTGCTCCAGCCTGTCCAGATCCCTCTGCAGAGCCTTCCTAGCTTCGAGCAGATCAACACTCCCACTCAATTTGGTGTCATTGATAAAGATATTAAACAAGACTGGTCCCAGAACCAAGCCCTGAGGGACATGGCTCATGACCGGTCACCAACTGGATTTAACTCCATTCACCACAACTCTCTGGGCGCGGACATCCAGGCAGTTTTTAACCCAGGAAAGAGCCCACCTGTCTATGCCACAAGCCCCCCACTTCTTCAGCAGAATGCTGTGGGAAATGGTGTGAAAGGCCTCAGAAGCTCATCAGAAGAAGCCCCATAGCAGGGCTGGAGTACTGAGAAACAGTCACTACAAAGGTGCAAAGCCCTTGTGGAGGGCCCCAAGAAGGGCACTAAAGCAAGCCAAACTTGCAGGCTGTGGTGTTCCCCACTACTCCCATCTGTCTTCTGCTGACTTTGATTCAGAAATCAATAGCAGGGAGTGCAGTATTAACTACCTAACCGGCTTTCTGCCAGCAAGATAAAAATTAGAGTAGGTGTTAGTCTGTGGGTGGTAATAAGCTTACGTCTGAGTATTAGAAAACTGTGTCAACTGGCCGGATCAGCTTTCCACAGTCATTCATCGGCCCCGAGAAATGAAGAGGCCTCACAAGTCCTCTTACTTCCCTCCCTAAGGAAGGGATCCAGGCTTAGAGATTGTGTTCCTGAAGTAGGACAAGGGTGTGTTGGTGCAAAACATGCAGTAAGGTAAAGTACAGTACTGTGGATAGTTTTTTTTTTCCCCAGGTAGAACAAGAAATCTATAGTTGAATGTATCATTATTAAAATAAAAGGCTGAAGAGCTAGAGTACAGCCTGTTTCCATGTAATGCAATAATTGTGAGATTTACAAATAAAATCCACGTCCATTTCACAAGCATACTTCTTAACTCTGTTGCCTGAGGAAGATGATAAACTGCACAAAATGTTCTATAAGCACCATCATTGTTGCAGCTATTCTTTTCCTGCTGTTACCTGACTGTTTTAAAAACACTAAGGTTCCCTCTTTTTCATGGAAAAACATTGGTAGGGAGGCAGCAAGTAAGGAATTCAGTTTAATCTAAGCATCAGACTTGCAAAGCTGGCTTTGCCTCTGTGGCCTGCAGATAAGTGTAGCCCCAGTTTGGTTTCGTTTGAGCAAAGCTGGTGGCATAAGCTGCAGGACTGAGTCAACACAGAGAGACTGAATACAAATTTTGGTCTTGGGGTCACTGGCTGAGCTCAGTACTCATTACAGCAGGTCTTAAGTACTTGAGCTTTTCTGAAAGCAGAAAATGTGTTTAAGAGTTTGCAGCTTTGGCCATCCCAGAAATGGGGCTGCTGGCAAAGTGAATAGTGCTGGTCTCTTGTGGGGGAAAGAGGGTAAACCACAAGGGCTGAAAGTTTGTGCACTGTGGTATCATTAAATAATTCATTTTCCCAACTTCTGTGTTTATCACTTTAACACAGAACAAAACTCCTAGCAGTATTTTCCAGTAGAAACGTTTGGTTTAGGCATCTCCTCCAACTATCTCAAAGGACTTTCATTTCTGAAAGAAAATAGTCTAGTACTTTAGGGAATATATATATATAAATCACTTAATTTTAGGTGCATAAACTGGACGGGTCCAAAAGGAGCAGGGCTCCCAGTCTTGCCACCACAAAATTTTGTAGGCAATGTTCCCCTGAGGTACAACAACAGACTTCAGGCCCCCAAAATACAGGAGGGCCAAGTAAATTTTTTAATTATTTTAACTATTTTTAATTCTTTTAACAGATTCTCTGCAGTAACAGTGTGCTAGAATCAACAGACTACTGGCTACAGAACCAGAGGACACCATGCCAAATTGGCTTTCTGGAAGACAAGTCAGAAAGCAACTGTGCCTCAGTAAGTACACGCTGTAGCCTCCTCTGGGGAAAAATGCACTGAGAGTTATTTGGGTAGGGTGTGGGGCCAACCACAGTGCATGTTGCATTAAAAAATTACTAACGGACCTTGAAATTATAGCAATCTCTCTCCAGTGTCTGTCATGTCCAGCTTTCTGCTTAAAGCAACCATACAAAGCAAAAATGCATACAGATTTCTATAGAGACCATGTTAATAAAGGTGACTGCAGAGATTTCCCCACATTTTGCCTTTGGACTTTGTGGCTCTCTTTTTTTTTTTATGTTCATAATCTGCAACTGACAAGAGAGAAAAATAAGACAAAGAGAAAATTATTCCAGAATAATTCCATAACTTGTGAAGTGTCAGGTTGGAAAGAGCAGATGATTAAAAGGCTGCTCAATGTTCTTAAAGACACAGAGATACAATTAAAGAGAAAACTCTTTCCATATGAGATGAGGAGAAGCCGCTAAAGAACTCAAACTGAATTATTTTACATTTGAAATGAAATTTAAATCTCATTATTGCAGGTTATAACGCAATTAAGAACAGCTTTTAGTTAAGAGTGTACATGAAGAAACAGGAATTGTTGTGTTGCTTTACACATTACCTTCATGAAACTGGATAGATGGGCATTGCTATGATTGTAGTAGGTTTTTATTTGATGAAGAACCCAGGAGAGCAGATCCTTACTGGGAATCCCATTTGATTGCTACTCCCTGGCCCCAGAGAGCCAATCAAGGGCATTAGAAAAGAGCAGTTTTATCTCAGGCAGAAGGTTTCCAGCACTGCTCGTGCTGCACGCAACCTCAAGACCAGCTGAGGGCTCCTATGGAATCAGCTAGGATTCCCTCATGGACATGGACGTTTCAGCTCAGAAATGAAACTGATGAACTCAGACACCTGCTGTCAGGAAACTGAGTCCCCCTCCCGTGGCGGGGGTGACTGGAGGCTCTCTGTCTTGCCTGGGGGTGATGCAGCATGCTTGAGAACAGCAGGAGTGAAAACACAAACAGCGTAGCAGCAGCAGTCAGAAGCTGGGAATGGTCAGAGGGACAGGGCTCACTTCACCCTCATGCTGTCCTCTGGACTATCAATTTCCACAAGACAGAGTGAGCAAAACACACAACCTAACCCGAGTGTGCTGCTGAGCAGCCAGGCGAGGCATGAAGGTGAGAAGCTGCACAGAGCCCCATTGTCTGTTTTGAATGATGCTGGGTGAAGGAAGGGGATATTAAGGAGTAATGGTGAGTGGCATTAATTTCCTAGACTCACAAAACTAGACAGACAGCATTTTCCTGTTCTTTGAGCATTCTGCCCCTATTCTCCCAAGCAAAAGGGTCACAGTATTAGGAAGTACAAACCCTGTTTGATAGCAGCTGAAATGCTGTCACAGGAGCAGTATCCTGAACACCTTCTTAACAGGCTCATCAGGCAGGTGACCAGCAGCGTCCCGGTTGTCCAGTACAGGAAAGGGTTGCTTTTAATGCAAAAACCACTGACCTCAGTCACTTGGGTTTACTGTTCTGTATTTCATAGCCTAAAAAAGGCTTATTTTCTCAGAGGAGATGATGACTCTGAATAATAATAATATAAAAATGAATTATGACTTGCTTTTTGGTATATTGAGCTTTGACTTTATTCTCCATGTTTCTTTGAATCTTATAGGAAATTATAGGGAAAGCAACTTTTATAAGAAAGCAAACAGGTGGTGTAAATATGGATTCTTTTCTCTATGATCTGTTTACTGAGATAATGAAGAATGTATTTTTGCCATCATAGCAGCTGGGTCTTCAGAACTGGCTGCTGACCTGGCTCCTGAACAGCTCGCTGTCCAAAGCAAGTACCCAGGCACTGTCAGTGTCACTGCACTTTAACCAAGCTCTTAAATGGATTCAGGAGGAGGTTAAGGATGCCATTACACACTAATTTAAGCTGGTCAGATCAGGTCTTTTTAGGTCTCACCTCCTCCACCATTCCCTACTTCATCTTTTTTACTGTCCTGGCATTTGTACAAATGTGCAGTAAGTCAGTTTGGAGAGAAAAGTAACTATGAAATTAAGAAATTAGTTTTTCTGTCCAGTTTTTTCTTGAATCATCTCACCATATTGTCAGACAAATGCCAGTGCTCATTCAAGTGGTGGAACAAAAACACTCAGGAACCAGCTCCCACAAATTAATTAGAACTGATTGATAACATATGCAGAAAGGGAACATCCTTGGCAAGGTGTATTTTGAGGGAAACAAAGAAAGCAGCTTTCAATTGAACTGAAGTAGACTGAATTTTTTTTTGTTGTTGTTTCTTCACTGCAGTCTTTAAAGATACTACGTATCTTCAGATGTTTAGGTACAGACCTGCAGGTTTATAGAGTGTGCTAACGATAGTGTGGACACTGGCTCAGGCTGTTGAACTCTTAAGTACTGAGACATTTTCTATTTCCTAATCGGGGCCCCTGTCTCCACTAAGTTCTGCAGAGTCTCCAAAGGATGAAAGCATGCCCTTACTGAAGGGTGGAGATCTGGTCCTGCAGGAGTTGAGAAAGGAGGTGGTTTCTTCCCAGGAGGAAGAGAATTAGTCAGCAAGGCTCTTTCTGCACCCAGCTATGGAAGTGCAATCTTGAATCCCAGAGGCTTTTTGTTGGCTGGGTTTTTTAGAATCCAAACCATATACATGTTGTGACTAGTGACTGTACCTAGCTGAAACCACTGTTGTGTTTTCCTGCGTTTGAAGATTTCCATTTCCTAGCAAACACAGCAAAGCCCTGTTCGTCTGCATAAGGTGGACAGACCTACATACCAAGAGGTTTGCCCTCCCTCACAAGGTCGCATGCGCACCCTCAGCAGTTTGCTGTAGTGGCAGAGGATTACAAGGGTGTTTATTTTACCTTTCACTCAACTATCTTTAAGAACAGCATTGTGTCTTTCAGAAATCAAAATCCATCCATTGCTTTCCAGATCTAAGCCATAATTATGAGAGGTATTTTTAGTTTTAAGTCCCATCTTCCTATTCAGCCTGACTATACCTTAATTATATCCTGACAAGGAGCAGGAATCAGCAGCTGCATGCACAGTTGTGGCACTGAGTCCTAGTCCTTTCTCGGGCGTGTGTGGGTGTTTGTGCTGCTGTGGTAAGGAACTGTGCCTTCCAGAGAGCCCCTCTCACTTCTATGGAAGAAGAAGGACCCTCCACTTCACCACTTACTGCCTTATGGAGCCCAGCACAGGCAGGCTGAGCACTAGGTTAAGAGGGAAGGGTTATTTGTGGAGGACCCAGCATGGTACCACAGCTGCATACCCATCAGCATTTCACATGGGCTTATTCACACTGCCTCCATGCTCTGCTTTGTCAAGAGACAGACTCTTGTGCTACCTCCAGAGTGGACATCTGCAGTGCTTGCTGCTGCTGCTACACACACAGACTCCCTCCAGCACGAGCTGCAGTGTGAGGCTTGTAGAAATTTTTAAAACATTAAGTGCACAGGGCACTGGAAAGAGCAGATGGTGCATGTGGCATACATATTTATTGGCATATTTTCTTTAAGTCGTAAGTGACAATTAATTACATCAAACCCAAAGGAATAAGCCTTAATGGGAAGAAAATATTCACAGCTGTTTTTGAAGCAATAGATTATGAAGAGATGACTTGGGATGATTCATTAAGGCAGCCCAGCCATTAAAGTAGGGATAGTCTTTAGAATATCAAGACCTATAAATCCACCACATCATTTGAGATATGCACATTCTGAAGAGTAATTTGGACTAAATTTTAGGTACATTACTGCTAAAAAATGCTGGAGGGAGAGCAGCGTAACACATCCCTCTGACAACATACAAAGTGTACCTAAAAAAGAATTGTGACTGGGCTGGGGAGACATAGGAAAGTCACATCAGGACCTTATTTAGGTAAACCTGAGTGACTCACAGAAGATCTCATATACTGGGTCATCCCTTTTCAGAAACACTCCGTTTGGGCTTGCAAGCAGAGTGGTTAGAAATCGCATCAGCATGTTAGATAGCCGTTGTGCAGCTCGTGGGAGAGGCTTTTAGATAGAATCTGAAATGAATAATGTGATTTTTGTGGCCATCCTGATGAAAATACAGGGAAGAAGGGGAAGAAGACTTTCTCCACTGACAGCTAGAGAGGGAAATTGTCACTCTCTAATTGCGTGAAGGACTGTACAACAGAAGGAAGGCCCAGACTTGGCTTCAAGCTGATATTTCCCCAACCTGCCCTGCATCCTGTTGAAGTTCTGGGCAGAGAAACTGTCAGTAGAGTGCCATGGTCCCTCGTGGACAAGGATGGACTGTTCAATGGTTTGCAGTAGCCTGATCTTAGTTCGGTGTGGTAAGGAAGGTAGGACTGCATAGCTAAGGGATACCTGTTGTGAAGCCTCCTGAGTTTAGATCACAGTGCAGGTGAGCGTGAGCTTCTTCATGCGCTGGGGTTATTGCTTAGAAGTTCTCCCACCCATCCAACACTGCTGCCTCACACTTCCAGTCATGTACAGCCTTTTGCAAGCAGCTATGTGGCAGATCTCATACTTCCACAATAATATTTTTATTTCTACATTTCACAGCTGTTTCCTCTGCCAGAATCATTTTGGCAAGCATGGAAATTAATGTGAGACAAGCAATTCATCCAAATGTTAATGGATAATTAGCTCTCTCTTCCAGAAGATGCTTTTTAATTCTGAGTCACTATCAGGCTATTCCAAGCACCTCATATAAGACCTATTCCAATTCAAGATCAGCTTTAACCATTTAAATACAAAGGATCAAATTCTACCATGTGTGGAGGAGAGAGCTACCTCTGTTGCACCATTCCCAGTTTCCTATCTACCAAAATGTAGAGCTATGCGTATTAATTATAACTGTTGATGACTCCAAAAAGAAGTGATGAAAGCCAATGGCAGGGAAAATAAGTGACCAAAATTTAGTCAGTGGAGGAAAGGAAATTATAATCTAAAAGCAAACAACTGCAGCATAAAAGCAACAACTGGCAA